GATTAGTCGACTAATCGAATAAATAATCAGTGATTAATCGATTATTAAAATAATCGTTTGTGGCAGCCCTATTACCATAACACTTTCAAAACTTCAGACAGAAACCCATTAAAATCTCTACCCTCGTCACCCTGCTCTAACACCAGTACATGGGTGGCAAACACCGGGGTGAAGCTGGCATTCAAATTCGCCTCCTAATCCCTGCTGCTCTGGGGGTGGCTGCAGAAAATCACCTTAAATCAGCTGCAGCCTGCAGAAGACAACAGGAGGCTGATTGGAGGAAAGCAAGTGAAAGAAGTCTGACCTCTTGCATCTTTAATTCGGCAAAGAAGGCTGCATCACAAAATAGAAGGGTTAAACTTTGCAATCATGGCAAATTCCCATCCAAACACAGAGTTACTGTTAACACCTGCCTGTCTGTTCTCCTACAAACCACAGCTAACATTGGCCTACATTAAAATGCCTCTAACTCAGTCAATTATGGATGCACGATAAATCAGCATTAACATCAGTATCRGCAGATRTTGGTCATTTTTTAGAATATAGKTCTGATTAGTAAGGCTAGGCTGATCTTAACATCCAATATTGAGTTCCCAATTTTTTATTTTTGTTTCAGTTTTGGAAGGAGAGATGATTGTTTGAGTGCTATCTATTTGATCATCAGTGATGCTGCTCAGTCAGGAATAACTGAAATAGAGAGCCATGTCAGGAATTTGGTCATTTTTTTTACAGTATCAGAAAAAAGGAATGTGTTTTTGTGAATAATTTGTGTGCTTGTGTATTATTGTAAATATTGTTTATCAGCTATAACAGCAATACAATATCAGATATTGATATCGTCTGAAATTTTCATATTGGTGCATCCCTACGATCAATAATAAACATACTGAGCTTAAATGTGATGTTGTCATAGCTGAGACCTACCACCAATTTATACTCCAACTGATCACACAATATTTGTTTTTAAAATTTTGCAMATAACTACTGGAATTAACTTTGTCCATCTGATGGCAAAATACTACACGTGAAGCAATAGATGAGTTTTATTAAACCCTTAAACTGCTGTATGTAGTTTCTTGAAAACCCAAAAACTTAGAAAAATTTTGAACAGAAACAACCTTGTAGTCCCTCCCCCTGCTCTCAGCTCCCCTTCCTAAGCTCCTCCCCCACAGCAGGGCCCAGAATCGGGAGCGTGCACGCTTGTAAACAGGTGAGNGCGGCGCTGTGACGTATGCGGCCGACGAATTCGGCCTTCGGAGGACCCGTCCTGCCGTTTTGGACACAGCTCTTATTTTAGTTAGCAAAGTCTGAGAATGCCCTCAGGGCACCATGCCTGAGAGTGGACAGAGGGTCCAGTGGCACCAGTGCATGGCAGACCCACCTCTGTCAGTGTGCCCCAGGGCATCTGTTGCTACATTGTAGCTTACCACCATCAGTGTGTGAATAGGTGAATGACTGAAGTGTAAAGCGCTTTGGGGTCCAAGTGGACTTGATAAAGCGCTACGTTCAGACCATTTACCATGCCAAACGTTGGGTTCACCACAGGGTTTTTTTTACACTACATAAATTTTTTTTAACTTTCGTAAACTTCGTAAGTTGTATGCAGGTGACTGCAGTAATTTTATGAAGCCAGATACACATATAAGTATATATGTGACCCATCACATCGAAATGAGGATTAAGTCCAAAAATTGAATGTTGAGAAATAGGCAGATGTAGGGTTTTGATTTAAACATTTGCAAAAATTGCATTTTGTCTAAATGTAATGAATTAATGCCTTATCAATGTATCATTTGAATGAACTGCCTTAAATATATTCCTTAAAAATTTTTGAAGCATGTTTTTTGAGCAGTAGCAACAAAAAACTTGATTTTATTATTTTTATTATTATTGATTTTATTACTGTATATTTTGACCTGCATTGACCTTGTGTTTGATTTACAATTTTAGAACTTAATTCCTGATTTGATGTTTCAATTTTCGTTGCTTATGTGTAATTATGTTTTCCTGTTTTTATTCTTTTCACCATTTTATACTGTTAATGATTGTACAGCACCTTGTGAATATATTTCTGTGAAAGGCGCTTTATAAATAAAACTTTACTTACTTATTTTGAGGAAAAATGCCTTAAAATTTGGAATTTTTCCTTGTGAGCTAGCAAAGTTTTTGTTTCTTCTCAACTGGGAAATCTTAATATAAAAATACTATTTGAGGTTTCCTCTTTATATTGTCAACAAAAATCACTCAATAAATTTACACTAAATTAGGATTCAGACCTAATATAAATACAGTATATTACTGTAACCAACAAGACAAATTAAGTTATATCTATAGAGAAGCTTATGATATCAGAATGATCCAGGTATCAAAATGTAGCTTTTAAAGCCAGGAATCTTAAAATGTAATTAGGTCATTTTGACCAAATTTGACTTAATCCTCATTTCGATATGATGGGTCACATATAAACACATAAAAAAATAAATTGCACCGGCTTGGATAGAGGAGGTGGGTAGCCATGTTACAGCTTTAGTAGTTTTTGTTGTGTGTTGTTGTCACAAACTTCGCTCCCAGCCTATCCATAACTTTATATAAATTTCGTAAACTTCCACAAATTTCAAAAGTGGCGAGAGGGAGCAGAGTTGAGGTTGCACCCATGAAAAACTGTCCGGGTCTTCTCTTCCACAGCCTTACAGCTTTTCTGCTTTTGACTTTTGTTTTGAGCTTTTGGTACTCTAGCTACCCCCGTAGGTGAGCAGCATGAGGAAAATGTATGAGTATGGTTCTTCCACATGCTACTAAGACCCCAGTTTGTTAAATGAATAAATTGTGAAAATGCTAGTATGACTTGTTTCTTCACAATTCACTCATCCAATCCAATAAACAACACCAGACAAGAATCAATAGAAAAAGCTGATTAAGGCACAGAGACGATTTGGCCGTTTTTTCATGGGCACAATTCATACTCAACTTTGCTGCTGAACACACAAGCGTGGCACCAATTAAAAAGGAAAAAAAACAGGCTTTTCGATAAAGAAAATTTATGAAAATGTATTCCCAAGAGGTATTTTAATGAGGAAATTTTCAACCAAACCCAAGAATATTTGTCCTTAGTTTAAAACAGGGATACTCATTGCACGGCTCCCGAGCCACATGCGGCTCGCCTTGCTTTATTGGCGGCTCTTGTGACAGTTACAAAAAGATCAGCCAAATAAAGCTGGTTCCAAAAGGGGTAATTAATTTTGAACCTGGCAACGTGGGCCGGTTTCAAAAGGGGGATTACTGTTGAATCTGGCAACGCAGGCATTGTTTTTAACAAGACGCTGCCGCAGCATGACTGCAGAGCGGGAGCGCATTACAGAGCGGGAGCGCATTACTTGGGAAACGGCGATTAAACTAATCGGCTAGCTAGCTTGTCGTGCTAGCTAGTAGCACGTCATATACGTTGCGCAAAATGGAGCGATTTCTAATATTAAAAAAAAGGACAAAAAAACGATGTCAGAAACAGCGAGGATGGGGAATTTGAAGAAGTGGACAAAAATCCACAGGAAGAAGATGCTGGAGAAAGGGCCGCTAGCACATCAGTGACAGGTGTTTCAAGTAAAAAACGAAAGGTAAGATCTATAGAAGATGAGCACAGAAAGTTTCAAGAGAAATGGACCGACGAATTTTTATTTGTTCTGCACGGCACAAACCCTCTTTGCTNGCACTGGTGAAAGTTACTAATGATATTCTCATGGCCTCAGACAGTGGACTTGTGTCCATTCTTGTCCTGTTAGATCTCAGTGCTGCATTTGATACAACTGATCACAATGTTTTATTACGTAGACTTGAACTTTATATTGGGATTACAGGAACAGCTTTAAATGGCAGATTGCAGTTTGTTAATGTTAATAATGACTCTTCTTCTTACACCAAAGTTAGTCATGGAGTTCCTCAGGGTTCAGTGCTTGGACCAATCCTCTTTACTTTGCTGAGGCTCATGCTGAGGCTCGTGCGGCTTATGGCGGTGAGGGCGAACCAGCAGTGAGTGAGGAAGGGTCCGCTATGTGGAGAGATCCGCAGCTGAGTATCAACATCGGTGAGAGGAAAGGAGAAGACTGCAATGCTGTAGCTGCAGCTAGCCRAGGGYGCTAACCCGAAAACGCTGTGGTGTAAGGCAGCTGAGGGTGGAGATAGCTGCAAACGGCAGCTAACAGTGTGCAAAACCGCAACGAGGCAGTACTGGGGCTCGTGGCTCGTGGCAGCTGTGACGGCTTGTGGCAGCGAGAACGGACTGRGTCTGAGTGAAGTGGGGCCCGCAACGTGGAGAGGTCAGCGGCTRAGAAGAGAGGAGAAGACCGTAACGCTGTAGCTGCAGCCACAAGAATCACTACTCATAGTGCCACAATAATCAATAAAATTTTCAGAAATATAACAAAAAGAGAGATAATGGGTGGTATTTTAATTACTGATGTAAGTGATCATCTACAAGTTTTTATACTTTATAAAAATGTTCAATACAACACTAAAGTAGATACAATAACAAAAAAAAAATAAGTGACACATCAAAAAAAGCTATGGATAATTTAAAGGATGATTTGAGAAAACAAAACTGGAAAATGTGTATGTTAGCGGTGTGAACAAAGCATATGATGCTTTCATGAATATATTAGGATGTTTGTATGAAAAAAATTGTGTGAAAAAAAATTACACAAAGAAAGATGTTGATAAACCATGGATGACCAAAGGGCTGAAAAATGCTTGTAAAAAAAGAACTACTTGTACTCGTGCTTCTTGAGACTAAGAACAAAAGAATCAGAAGAAAGATACTGTAAAAGAAATATAAAAACAAT